ATATTTTTTGCTTTACCCCGATAGTTTACCCTGGTTTGACTCGGTCATCTACAGGCCTCATCCCGCCGCAGCTAGGAGATCTTGGCGCCCTAAAGTATCTCTACCTTTCCAGCAACGAGTTAGATGGTGAGTTGAACAGATCGGAAAGCGTTTTTTTTTTTTTCAACTTCGGAACATCCATGAGTCCCGCGTACGCGTGGGCGGGATTTAAGCATGCAAAAACAATACCTTGAAAAAACGCAAAATACCCGAGGGGTGGGGGGGGGGTCATAACGCTGCCAAAGGCCATGTTGAACATGAGCAAGTACAAGGCTTGGGACAAAAATGGAAACGATACCTTATGAACACGATGTGGTGGGCACATGATACAGACAACATACCGAGGGGTGGCGGGATGTCGAGAAATATGGTGTGGTTCGGCGAAACACCAGGAGGGATGTCGAGAAATATGGTGTGGTTCGGCGAAACACCAGGGAGGAGTCGGGTACTAAATACTGGTACCTGGTACTGGTATTCGCTGTGTCACTTATGTCGTCTTCGCCCGCGAGGTGCACGTTGACGGGGACGTTGTCGCCGTTGCTCTTCAACGGGCAGTCGTCGATGTCGAGGCACCAGTTTACGTAGCGAGCTGGTGCCTCCACGTCTGTTGCCATTGGAATTCAACAATCCTTTGGAGTGGGACGTCTGTTTAGAAATTACTTCGATCTCCTACCTGCTGAGGCACGGCGAAGAAGCATTCTCTGCTGCGACGTAAACGAGACCGTCACACCCGCAACTAGAGAGCACTGGTGTTGGACTTTGAGGGACAAAATTGAGTGGGACGGACAAAAAGGAGGTCGATATTTTATGAATGGACACGTTCTCTCATATTCTCTTTTGTAAGGCCCATGCATTCTCTATTGCAGGGGAGGCGCCAAAGACGCAAGTAAAAAGTTAGGAAGGACATGACAAACGCAGGGCAACACACAGACACAGCTAGAACTTGACAACGGAGGAAGCGCTGCTCACCAGGAAGGCGGTAGATCCAGACAGGCGGCCGATGGTGAACTGGACGCAGCAGAACCAGCAAACGTTGCCCGGAAACTTGACCAGTCCAGTCCGGTCCACGCGCAATCTCCGGTGGAAAGGTGACGGCAGGCCGGGTAATCAGCGCCATCCTTCCCGATGTTCTCCTTCAGGAGCAGTAGGGTGTTGCCCCCGTCGCGTGGGCAACTGAAGGGTAGATCGCGCTCTGCGGGGATGTTTTCGGGCGTGGACGGAGCGGCGCGGGCCGGAGAGGAGCCGGGTGTGCCGGACGAGCCCCCGCCGGCGGAGTTGGTGGCGGAGTTGTTGTTGTTGTTGGTTCTGGCGGAGGTGCTGGTGGAGCCGGCCGATCCCCCGCCGGCGGCGATGGTGGGGGCGGTGTTGGCGGTGGTGTTGCGGGTGGTGTTACGCGCCATGTGCGATGGCGGTGTATTATGGCGGCGTGGAAGCGCTGCTCTGCTGTGTTAGCTGCGGTTTGTGACGTGTGGCACGCAGTGCAGGGGGGCGGCCGTTCCTAGGCGGCAAATCGGGAATAAACTATTGTTAACTTGGTTGGGGTTGTGCTGGTTTGCGGTAATTTGGCGGTTGGTTTGGGTGATTTGTTGTCGCCATTGCCCGTTGCGTCGTGAGACCCTGGCACGCGCGAAAGGGGACCAGCCTCCTGCTTACCCCCACAAAGAAACGGCAACAGATCCTCGTCGGACCACCCTCCTGCTTGCCCCCACAAAGATACGGCAACAGACACTCGCCATGTTAACTGCTGCGACTCTGTGGTGGTTGATCCCACCGCCGTGGATTGATAGTACTTGTGTCGGTCTGCTCTGGTTTTTCGGTAATTGGTTCGGTCAGCTTTATTTGCGCGGAACATCTCCCCGGTTTGGGCGTCAAGCACTCGCGCCACGGGTGGCTGGCGGTCCTCGGGCGTGCGTGGTATTGTGCCGACGACACCCCTGAGTGGCCCTGAGAAGGAAGCGTGAGAAAAAGACTCGCTTCGCCAGCGAAGGATGTTTCGAAGCACGAAAACAGGCGAAATGATACATGTATCTGTTGTGTATATTGCAACAACGGTGAACTTGCACCGCGTGCGGCGACGGCATCGATTGGCTTTGGCGTCGTAGCTCTAGCTTTTCATACAGCCAGCTATGGGTTGTGCTATCTTTTGGTAGTCGATCGTGTATGTACCTGCCCAGGGTTTCGTGACATGTTTTTTTAGAAAGTCAACATAACCTCTCTTTTGTTTTTGAGTGTTTCGTGTTGGTTTAGGGCGCTGCAACACGTCGATGGTTGAGCTCTGGGTTACTGTTTGTTGGTGTTGCTGTGCTGTTGTTGGTGATGCTCTGGGATTGTCGCTGTCATTGCCGTGGTTTCAATAGCGTCGTCGGCCGGCGCCAAGAGCAAAACGATATGCATTTGCGCCCGCGGTGCTGGTGACCAAGCACTGCTATCGGCGCGCCCCCCAAAGGCAATCTGCTCTTATCGAATGCTTCAAGTTTATGGTACGTTCATGTCCCCTTGTTATAGGCGAGATGATAACAGGCACGATGCGTCGCCACTCCTGATATGTCGTCGTATTTTTGTTTTGCTCTGTGGAAGGAACAAACCGGAGGGAGGCAGAGATTGAAGGCGGTGTTCTGTTGATGTTCTGGCCAATGCCGAATCCATCGATTCACATCATAGCTCAACGCGCCGACTTTCCACGACTCACGATCGATGTTTGGCCTCGCATTTTGCCAGTTTTGCAAGATGTGTGTCATGTTGCTTCCGTTATCCTCCCGGTTATGCCGCTGTTCGCACGTCAGGGAGAAGGTGATGGCTGCGGCCAAAGGAGAGGGAGACGGCCTACAGTTTGACAAGGACGACCAGATTGCCATGAACTTCGTCGCGGCGGCCAGCAACCTACGAAGCCGGGTATTCCAGGTGTGTACATATCCACTGAATATGGTGATGTTGGTACGGTGTGAAGTACCAACCAGGTAACCAGGGAATTTTCATGCGGTGTGTATGACATACCGTTTCGGACATAAAATTTACCACCGGACGACTGCCGGGTATTCCAGGTATCCAGTGAATGCTATCGTTTTGGAGATAACACCGGACAGTCGTACTTGTATGTGTATGTGTGGTTCCGATTGAGTCCCACGCCGACTCATGCTTCGAATTTTGGATTTTCGGCCAAGCTTTATTCTAGTACACTTGAAAGCTTATGGACGACCGTGTGTCAGCACGCGACCAGTCTGGAAATGAAACAATGCGCAGCACACTTGTCCCCGTTGACCTTTTCGTCCTGGGCCGCTCGCCGAAGCTGTTTCCTCTTGTCAGAAACGATTATTTTCGTTTGATTGTACGCGTAGACGGTCACGTGTACACCCATCTCGTTCGTTACTAGTTGGCTGTCGATACGACACCCCGCATCCTACTGTTCTTTTCGTCAACGTTCCATTACGTTGCTGTGCACGTGAAGATCCCTGTGCAGAGCTCGTACGAGGCGAAGGGTGTTGCGGGGAACATCATCCCAGCCATCGCCACCACCAACGCCATCATCGCGGGACTGCAGGTTGGTGCTTTTTTCCGGCAGCACCGTCTGCAAGCTGTTAGCGAATTGCGGTGAATGCTGCTCACCATGTGTGCTCCTGCTGCTGCGGCAGCGGCTGCAAATACTGCTGATCCCTTTATGGCATATCCACGGTCCAAGTATTTCTGGGATTCATTTGCGGGAAACAAGATTGTTCACAGATTTCTTTACTTCGGAGTGTTTCTTAGGCTGTCAACGTGCGAACAACCGAACGAAGGTATCACTTGATTTCCGGCCTTTGGTTTTTTTGTAATGCGAGAGCAGCTCGCTTTCTAGATGTTGCCGTTTGTCCTGTTGCGCCTGACGACTGCTCTCTTTTTGTCTTGAGCGGGAAGGTACTGTCAGTGAAGGATTGGGAGGGGACGTTTCAAACGCACCCTCCGCTTCTCCACGGTTGTGGAGCAATGAACTTCTTGGTATGATTATGTCAAGAGTAACGAGCGTTCTGGATCCAGCAGAAGACAATCCGGAAATTGTGATAGGGGATGCTGGCGAGCAGTTCGTGGAGATCCCTTACTACCTGCCGCCTGGGAAGACCCCTAACAGGAAATGGAAGTTTAAAGCTGTTCTGTACTATCGTTGGTCGAACAGTACGGGGACGTTGAAGGTCCCGCTATTGCCTCTTCCACATGAAACCAGTAACCCTATTTCGTGTTGGTTGAGAGGTGATGGAGGCGTTGATCGAAGCGATCTTGCTTCTTTAACACCGTCTACAAACGTAGCTCTACTTTGTGTTGGTTGTTTAAAAGGTTATGGAGGCGTTGAAGATCCTCAAGGGAGGAGTTGCCATCGGCGAGGCGTGCCGTTACACGTACTGCCTGCGAGAGCCCACCCGGAAAGGTCTGTACTTGCTGCCGACCCCGCTGGAGAAACCTGCCAAGAGCTGCTTCGTGTGCAACACCAGCACGGTGAGTCCTGCTTCTTGCAGAATTCACTTCACTCGCATAAGAACGTCACTCTACACCAGTTTGATTATGTGCTCTCTTGGTATGAATATTTTTGGTTTAACGAGTGTTTTGTTTTTGTGGGTGGTTTTGGTAGTTTTTCAGTTTTTGAATGATGGCGGAGTCGTTGCTCCCGAAGTGACATCTGACCGCTTGCTTGTCGAAATACGTATTTTCTCTTTGTGATTTTTTTTTCTGGTGGAAGAAGCCTGGCATGCCTCTCGGACTGACATGCCTATCAATCGAAGCATTTCTAAGGTCTTGGTTGGGCCTTGTCTCGGTTCATTGCGGAATGTGATGGCCCGCGTTCGCGTGTGCTCGGATACGCCCCAGCTCTGCCGGTGTGAAGTTCGGGCTGCTTTGTATGTCATTGTTGGAGCATTCGTTTTTGGGTGATGACGTTTGTCCTCATGGACGTTCCTTGTGCAAATGGCACGGAAACATCGCACTGCTTGTGGTCTTTGTGTTCAACCCGCTATGAACTTTAACGCTGGGCCTAGCGATCTGTGGGTATTTTGTGCTAGGAATCGTCGTGTTTCTGAGCCCTCACCTAGTTCGTATCGGTTCCTCATGCGCCGGGGGCCAAAGAATCGATTGGCAGCGCGAGAAGCTTTCTTCACGATACCCGATTGTTTGACCCAGGCCGTTCCTTCATTTGCTCAAGGTGTTGTAGTGTTTTTGCTAGTTGTCGATGCTCTCCCGAACGAAGCTCACCCGCGTCAGGTTGCTTAATTGTGTGCGTTATTCCTTGTATCACGTTCTTATTTTTTTATGGGTGTTCACTCATGTTGGCTTCATCCTGTGCGTCAGCTGCATGAGCTCGTTCATTGAATCACATGATTGGTATAAATACTAGTTTTTTTTAGGTGTTCACTCATGTTGGATTGCTTCATATCTTTGATGAGTCACGTGATGGTGAGTCGCTATTTTGCGCTTCGATCCTGTGGTTATTATTTGCGGTAAAGATACCCATGGTTGTGTCGCTTCACAACAAACGGGACTATCGCTCTGGCATTTACTTCATTCACTCTAGACGTTGGTATTGTTTAGCGATTTCTTGTGCAAGGTGGTCACTCATTTTGAGTTGCTTCATGATATGCTGGGCTCGTCCATTGGATCACGTGATGCCTATTGATCAGCGAACGTGTTGGCCACGCACTTGATGTGCTTCTCCCTGAAACGCCACTCGCTCCGCGTTCTAAGCACCCAAGCAACCGAATCAAAGCACCCGGCCTACAGTAGGTTCCTTTGCTGCCCGATATTTGCGGGTAAGCCTCCCCTTTTTTCCTTGAGAGAAAACCACGTCGTGGGATGCGTGCATGGAAATGCTAGGATGGGTGATCGATACCGTGGCGATGGCGATTTTGGTGTCACACGACAAGGTTGCGCAAGTGCCCGCGATGTTGGCGGAGTGCCCGGTAGGGAGACGGGGAGCCATTGTGAAGGAGGTGCGGTCGTTCTTGGGCAAGTTGATTCACTTATGCGGTGGAGCAACTTGCCCGATAACGACCGCACCTCCTTCACAGTGGCTATCCGCCTCTCTACCGGACCCTCCGCCAACATCGCCGGCAAATGCGCAACCTTGTCGTGTGACACCAAAATCGTCATCGCCACGGTATCGACCACCCATCCTAGTATTTCCATGCACGTATCTCTCGACGTGGTTTTCTTCCTAGGAAAAGAGAGGAGGCTTGCGCGCGCTGCGGTTACCGAATCAGCGAAATCTATCAGACGTAAATGAACTAGTAGCGCGCAGACATCGCCTCCCCTGCAAGAAGCTCTCAAAATCTGCGAATAGCGCATCGTACGCGCAGGCACGTACACGCACACAGCAGAGCCCCCCAGAACCCCGAGGAAAAAAGGTGACCCGGCGGCATCCTCCCGCGCGCTTCGGTTTCGTCGGGGTGGCTCTAGTGTCTTCCCCGACCTTCCGGGGTGATCACTGCGGACGTTACAGTTGTGTTCATGTGTGCGTGTTCTGCGGTGGAAGCGCGCACGCCCCACAACGCCGGGGAGCTAATCCACCCAAACTGGAGAATCGGTCTATAATTTCAAGATCCTGGAAGCATTGCTGAACTTCTCCTTTTCGTCGACAGACACCTGACGGAACGCGCCTTTAGTGTCAATTTTCGCAAGCCAGATTGGAGGGGGGGGGTGCCGTGCGCGGTTGCCTCAGCTGTACCATGCAACGCCATCGAACATCGCGAAGGACGTGTCCTATCTTACATTCCGGAACCGCCGAGGTGTCGGTATCTTCGTTCACCCCCGCCCGGACAACAGCGTTAGATGAATTGGAATATCCGAACTTTGGATGTAGAAAGTGCCACCGTGATTGGCGACACTCGAGTCGACACTCGCGTGTCGGCAATTTTCTCGGCCGCTTCCCGAGAAAACACAAACGTCCGCCCCGTCAGCACATCCTCCGGACTGTGGACACTGTTTCCGGCGAAAACCATCGCACTAAATCATGGTTCCCGTACTCGATCGAGGCGCGTCAATCCCCTGCCCCGGTCACTGCCCCGGGAGCGCCCTCACTGATTATTTTCACCAATAGATCAATGTTTGGGAACGCTTTCACCTCACCGAACCAATGCCGGACTCCCGTTACGTCTACTGGCGGCATGGGAAGCGTGCACAGAGTTTCAAGCATGCACTCAAACCGGCCGTGACGTGTCTCCGACAATCTCGTGCTCTTTGCTGCCGCTGTATCATTTGCTGCCCGGGTGGATTGAGAGTCTGTAGCGTGGGATAACTGATACAGGGCTACGTCGCCCGCCCGCAAGATCTCAACCACGCCTGTCTTCCTGCTGGGCGTCAATCTCGTCCTTTCATGCGCCGCATCCCGTGAAGACGCTCGCTACTGGCTGATATAGGGGATGGCCCCGCCTCGTGGTAGAGCCCATATCCCTATGGACTCCGCCACTGCGGCTAACACCGCCGGTGCCAGCTCCGCCTCTGCCTCGGCTTCCTCCGCTGCTGCCGCTGCCGCCCCCGCGGCCACCGCGGCGTCGTTCGCCACTAATAGCTCCACCCCGCTCTCCGCCTCCCGTGCCCGTATCCCGAGAGCACCGCCAGCGCTTCCGTTCCCAGCGCTTGTGCGGCGGTTGAGGTTCTTGGCATGGTCCCATAGATGATTGCGGCGTGTACACTCCCCGGTCTGTCCTGCATGAAACACCGGCGGTGGACGGAATTCCCCGAGCGGGGACGCTTGGTCGGAGACATGATCGAGTGGTTTCGCAGCCCCCCAGAAGCGACGATGAAATTCCTGGTGATGCTCCACTGAGGCCCAACCACGGGCGGCATGAACTCGGCGTGCTGCGGCGTCGGGTGCTGCTTCTTGAACGCCAGAGCCCTGGTGAACCACGTGGATTTCCACTGGCCGAGGTCCTCGTTGAGCATGTACGCCATCACACTGAAGGTGGCAGCGTCGTTCATCGTCGACAGTGTTGGCGACAGCGGGTGCGGATCGTGCCAGTTCCTTCCTGAAGCCGCTGACGAAGTAGCCCCAGGCGCGTGACCCCGTCCGCGTACGGATGTACATCGCCGAGGGTGACGATCCAAACCTCACTCGCACTACTCTGGTGAAGCATGTAGAGACATTGGCATTCGCCATCATGAAAGTCATCTCCTAACAACATCGTGACACTGGTGAGTGCCTCTACTGCTGTCCGACGGCTATGTCGACAGTTGCCGCTTATTCCACAACGGCAAAACGTGCGCATGGTTTGGCTCAGTAATTTCGGTAGCGCAGCTTCTCGATCGAAAACGGCCTGTCAACGTGAAAGGTTCTTCGTTGACAGCTGTGTTGATCGGCGCACCACGAGGGCAATACAAGTATGGTGCACATTTGGAATCAGCAACTCGTTGTGTGGGTTACTCTGGCGCGGCCGCTGATCGACGGTTTTGACAGCCGAGCGGGTTGCAAGAGCGGCCCTTCGAGGGCAACTTCCCGCACAACTGCTGTCTACGTCTGCACGTCCCTGGAAAGAGATGGATACGCAGATGTTCAAGTTTACTATATATATATGTATTTTTTTTTTCCAAGCTGTTGCTCATCCTCAGAGTGATTAGTTGCCCCGCTGTTCTTCGACGGGTGTCGGCAGCCGAGGGGTTGATACGAGCAGCCTCCGTCGGCAAAATGTCCCGCATATCGGCGGCTGCAAGCGCATGATGGATCATGCGTCTGCACAGCGTATCTATGCGCAAGAACCTGTTGTTCAGCGATGACATCCAAAACACCTACGAGCTTGTGCCGGTCGGCCCGTGGGCCGACAGCTGTGTTATTCATGTATTGCATTCCAAAACGGCGAACTGTACGACTATGCAAGTTTGAATCATTAGCTCATAGTCTGGGTGTACCATTCCGCTCCGTTACTCTTCGACTGCTGTCGACAGCCAAGCGGGATGAAACCCCACTTGGCAACAATTTTCGCGCACAACTGCTGTATGCGAGAAATGTTGGTCTGCGGCTGAGTCACTAACCGACGGCCGCGATGGACACTGGTGACCTCGCAGCAGCAAGTTGCATCGCATGTGCGTGTACGCGCCAGGTCTGCAATTCGAACCAGTACCCCGGTGTGCGTGTGTCTTGCACACTACCACCATGCCGTTTGTCAGCCGTGGTTGTGTTTTTCTCTCGGTGGGCAATGGTGGACCAAGTACCAAGAAGGAACACCCAAGAGGCGTTGCTTGCCATCGGCATGAGTATGGCTTCGCCGTACCTGGCATGTCGCTCTTCTAGAAACATACCAGACGTACCGGTGAGTTCACGCTGCCGTCGCGTCCAATTTGATGACTCAGCCCTGCCTCAGCCGCCGTCGATGGCGGCTGGGTGAAGCGCGTGCGTGCTGGTCTCCGCTCCAGCCCCTGCTCTCGGCTCCAAGAAAGAGAAAGAACGCAACTTCTTGGCCTCCCAACCTCGCCAATCCTCAATAAACCTCTCTCTGAGTTCACCTACTACTGTTGTGCAGTTCTGCTATTCCAAGCTGCCCAGCGGGCCTTCTCCTTGCACGTAAACTCTCCGAAAAAGTGCCTCCTTCAGAGGACTCTCCCAGTCTGATACCCCGATATATAGGAGAAAAAAAAAGAAAACGCCTCTGGCAAATTCGACGGTTTCAATAAACAGTAGTCTGCATCGGCTATATCTGCCTCACCAAAGTCGATTTTGTTCGAGGGTTTGATGGGGTCCGACCCGCCGATTTGAAAAACTGTCCGACAAGTCGATGGATGTGTCCTGTGCACGGGTGTGTACTGAACCGCAAGAGCCAGCTCGTTCGTGGCATCGAGTATTGCAGGATTCCCTCTCGCTGTTAATTATCAGGTCAAAACAGCATTTGGCGTCGCCAAACGGAAAAGCGAAAAAAAATTGTTTCGGTGAGAGAAAAGCCGAATACTCGGCCCACGGGCATACAACATTTAGGAGGTTCAGGCGCAGGGTCAATGATGATTGAAAACAATACAAGTAATTAGCCATTTTGGCTTTTTGGTTACATTTACATTCTATATAAACCACATATGCTGTCGTCGCGACTGATGCCTTGTCGTTTCTCCGATCCACAGCTGGAGCTGTGCCTGGACACGGAGACCCTTACCCTTGCAGATCTCGTGGAGAGAGTACTGAAGCAAAGGCTGGGGGTGAACGAGCCCACCGTCGGACTCGGTGCGACTACGCTGTACGAGGAGGGAGACGGGGCGGACGACCGTCTGGTGGTCAACCTCACCAAGCTGCTCAAGGTGAAAGGAATCATTCTTGGCCTGTTTCGTGATGTTCAGCGGATTGTTTATTTCTTTTCTGCCGCTTCTGACAGCACCAGCACCGTCTGGTGGTCGCCCTAACCAAGTTGCTCAAGGTGTCACCTATCGTTGTTGGCCTATATCATATGGTTGTCGCTGTGTGAATCCAAGTACTGTAAGTGACGTAAGATACCACACCCCCTGGACCGATTGTCAAAGATCGACGACGTTCTTGATGAGGATGAGCAGTATGAAACGAGACATTTTCGGCAGGCTCTCGATGTGAAACGGTTCCAAGGTCACCATTTTCGGCAACGCTGCTGGCCGTGCTGCAGAGCGTTCGGTTTTTTGCCAATCGGTCCTCTGGGTGTGGTGTCTTATGTAACCTACCGGATTTCGTTTTGCCGAGTCTGACGGAGCAGACAACACCGTCTTTGGCTTTGCTGCCGAAATGATTTTTTCACCGTTCCTACTATTTTGTTTACATTGTAAAGTCCGTTTGCAATCACGGAGAAGATATTCCGTTTTTTTTGCATGAAACCATTTTTATTATCTTGTTCAGTATTCATACAACAAACATCTATGGGGTGATTTTGTATATTGATTATTTTCTGAGTTTGTGAAGACCAAGTGACAGCGGAGACGACCTGTTTCTTTTCCCCCGAGTCACTAGGACAATTTTTCGTATGCATACAATTTCAGAGTATATCCCGATTCCTTTTGCCTCTCTCAGTTTTTATTTTTTTTTATGGACGGTATTCCTACAATCACGTAGGACTGAACCCGTTTTTTTTGTTTTTTTTTCAGGATCTCCCTGGAGGAGGCATCAAGGACGATACCGCGGTAGAGGTGGAGGACTTCTCACAGGACCTCACGGTCAAGCTCAACATCTTCCACAAGACCTTCGACGAGGAGGAGGTACAATATGCTACGTATTCGGTGTTGCAGTAGTCGTAATGGCCCCCCATCGACGAGGACAAGGTACAGTGTACGTACGTACGACATTGCAGCACGTATTGTAGCCATTCTGACGGTATTGTACCCGATCTCGTTTTTCCATGCCATCTTGTTCGAGCTGCAATATGATTTTGTTGTTGTGTTGTCTTCACATTAAAAACCGTTCCGTTCTCTCTGCCCAGTACCTCCTTCTGCCCGTACTATGAGATGGCGTTTTTGTTTGACAGCAGTGCAGCAGGCTGTAGTAATCTTTTGACGGTTTTGTGTAATGCCCGTGTTTGTGTTACCCGAGCTGCCGCTAGCACAACGGCTGCCAGCAGCGCTTCCCCCCAAGCCTTGAGGGCACCGAAAGTGCTCTTTTTTTTTTTCCCTTTTTTTTTCCGCATCATGTCCCACCGTCCGTTGGAGGAACGGCTCAGTTTTCGACATTAAAGGGTATCGTCCCCGCCAGCCGGGTGGGATTGCACTCCCTTCGGGGATGCGATTAAATTCCTTGTTGTCTCTGCCATGGTTGTTTTCTTGTGTGGCATTCGCGAGGCGTGCTGGTATTTTTGTGAAATGACACCGGCCCCTCGTAGGAACGCGGTAGGCAAGGACGAGTGACGGACGGAGACCGGAATCAGTCACCCTTGATCCACGTGAAGCAAGTGACAGACTGGCCTGTGGTGCTTGGAGAAGGTATCATGTTGCTATGCATACGATCCGAGAAAACAGAGATAGACAACGCAGTAAATGTTGTACAAATGTTTCGTTTCTACATGATTGTCCCTACCCTTCACGATCACAGTGCAAAACACCGTGCAACGGTAACATCATCACGTTTCATTTTGGAATGATGTCCCTTCTGTCCCAAGGTGCTCAAGTGATTCACGATTACAGATAAACGCACCGCATGCAACGATGTGAGTACATTCATTTCGGAATGATGTTCCTTCCCTCCATCCCAACGTGCCCGAGGGATTCACGATCACACAGAAAGACAACGCTTGAAAAATTGCCGCGGAATGGGTTTTATTTCTGAGTGATGCCCCTTCAATCCCAAGGTGCCAGAGGTGCCTGAGGGATTCACGGTCAAAGAGAAACAGCAACACATGTAATGGTTGTGAATTCGTTTCTGGATGTCCCTTCCTACCAAGGTGCCTGAGGGATTCACGATATCGGGCGATGCGAAAGCCCGTCCGACTGCCGACGCCGACGCTGTCAAGCCGAACGGAGGAGGAGATGAAGGAGGTGCAACCGCCAACGGGAAGGCGGCGGGTGGCGCAGGTGGGCACTTGCTGCGGTTGTTGTTGTTGTTGTTGTTGTTGTTGTTGTTGTTGTTGTTTGGCTCTGATGGTAAGTTTGGTGGTTGTTGTCTTTGCGTTTGGTGTCCCATCGTATTATTATAATAGTACGGTTGTACGTGCCGCTGGTCGTCGTCCGCACTACTGATGATGGTGGCACGTTGTTGGTGTTTTTCTGGGTGCTCCTGCGCGCGGGGGTATATGGTGTTGGTATGTTGGCGTGTAGATATTGAAAACCGCTTCCTGTTGTTGATGTAGTGTCTTACCCTAGCCCGTGCGTGCCGAGCTCCAAGACGTACAGTGGGGCCTGCATTTCTCCATGCACTTCTCCATGCATTTTTTCGCTCTTTGCCATGCTGGTCCACGATGGAGACGGAGACGATCAATGCTCGAGACGTCCTCTGCGTCTAGTTTCCCCGCATGCGTATTACCCCCCCGGCATGCGTCTATTTCTCCGACACGCCTCTGCTCTACAAACAAATGTTTGCACAAGTAGTATGACCACCTCGCGAACCGCTGTTGGGAAATGATGTTGACGCGCTAATGTTTCACAACGCCCCGTGCTGGACGCGATCGATCTGCAGGCGGCGGCGACGACGACGACGACGACGACGACATCGAGGTCATGGATGATGACGTGGTGTTCATGACGGATAACCAGCCGCCGAGCACAACAACAACCACCAAGTCAGCAGCACCAGCATCTTCAGACACCGCCAATGCGACAAACTCGGTGGAGGGAGGAGTCGCGCCAATGGCGACCACGGACAAGGAGAAGCACGATGCGAGCGGTGGCGGCGAGGGTGGCTCCAAGAAACGACCGGCGGAGGAGAACGGGGACGAGAAAGTGGAAGGAGGCGTTGGTTCTAGCTCCAGCAACGGCGCTGCTGCTGTTCCCAAGAGGGCCAAGACGACGTGATTGTTTGAAACGCACTGGTCGTTGGTGTGGTAGGGCCGGTTGGTTGGATTGGATTTCATGGAGTCGTTCGTTTGACCATACAGTAGAGGTCCCTGTTAGAGCACTAGTCAAAGTACAGAATGACTTGGCAGTTCAGTGTATGCCCGACGGAATCACCTGCACTATACCGGCAACCCGCACTACACAGGGACCTCCACGGTATCGGTAAACGTTCCTTCCTTTGGGAGTGGTGGTCGTTGGGAAAGGTAAGCGTTGGCCGCTTTTGTTGTCGTGCTTAGCCTCTTCGCTGGCCGGGAAATATCTACCACTCGAAGACATGTGCCCTCATTATCCATTGGTCAATTGGAAGACGTTGTGCCCGCCATATAACTATTGGTGAATTCGGTTTTGCCCGATGGGATCTACCGCTCCTGTAATAATCAAGGTAATAGTTTCGTCGTTGATGACCAAGATAGTGGCGATCTCACCTCAGTTAATTTTATTCACACATGCTGATTTGTCTCGTGTGGGAGGGGTACATTGTGTTGCTTAGGGTGTAGGTTTCTAGATCGCTGGATGATCCCTCCATACGTCCTAGTGAGGCGCTCCGTTGACTTGATGAGTTTCTTGATGTTGATAACGATGTGTTCGTGTCGCCGTTTGCTGATTGGTGGGCGTTTCTGGGTTGACAATGCGATTGTTGCTCGTGTGATCGATCTGATATCATCGTGGTCGTTGCTCCCTGATGACTTGGAGTTCGTTCGTGGCCGGTGTAGAATATGAAGCAGTGGGTTCGTCGTCGCGTTTTGTCAGTAAGGTGAGCCAGGTTTTTAATTGGTGGGTGGAAAGATGCGTTTAAATGCCCGCGTTATTGTCGTCCGTCTACAAACAAAATTGGTCGATTCATTTGGCGGCGACATCGACGTTGGTGGGGCACCTTCACACTGCTTGTGGCGGTGTGGGGTGGCGAATGTCCTCGAGGAGCCCCAAGCGCTCGTGCTGCATAGCAGCGTTGGAAGGTGGGGGTGCGGGTAGATGTGCGGCCGTCGACAAACTCGGGAGTGAGAGTGATGTTAAAACATACCGGGAGACCATCAGAGATGTTATGTAGCTGCATTGTTTCCGCTGAGCTGAACGCCCACCGTCGTGCAAAAATCAGACCGTGTGAGACGCTGTCGCAGCACTTGTCTGCGTCTGGACTTCGGCCCGCGCTACCATCTTGGTCATTTTCTGGACGTCGTTTTCGACTTGCGCCAATGCATTGCTCGCCCTGTATGCGTCTATTTTCGAGACTAGGGCAGACGCCCACAGGGCGGGCGTTGGATCGGCCTTGGTCGAAAATGACTTGCAGAGAAACGACCAAGATGTTAAAACGGGTCGAATACCAGAAGCAGGCAGCTGTGACAGGGCCTCATCCGTTTGACTTCACCTTCCATTCCCCCCCTCGTAACCATGTCGGCCACCCCCGTCCTGTGGATTATTCTGAAGCACAACCCTGAAAATGATCGATTTCCACGTGAAGAAAGTTGATTACAATATTCACGGTTCTTAAGTCCTAAAGGCTTCCGTGTCTCTCGCGGAAATTCTTAGACCTGGACATTATAGGATGCTACAGGGGGCGGCTGACAGGGTTATCAAGGGGCAAGTGGAAGCCTTTTCCGGAACGGTTGAAGATGTCGTAGAAACAAAGTGTTTGGCTTGGAAATCCGCACGCCAGACCCTGCACCTTGCTCCCGCTACCCTTTGCTACGTTCCACAACCGCGATGCCGTTCCTAGGCAGCATCTTCAAGGAAGAGGCACACGAACCAAGCAGTAGGGGAAACATATGTGAACCAGGATTACCTTTTCCAAACCATTCAAACGAACGTAAAACAAGTCCCTCTGACTGGGTTCCAAACTGTTCAGAGTGGAAGCAATGCGGCCAAATGGCAAGAGTATATTAATAAGAAATGAGCATGAATTATCGATGGAAGAGTGTGTTTCGATTGCACTGACCTTATCGGCCTGGCTTCGCCTGACGTGCATGCTACGGCACCCCTGGACAAAGTACTCACGCCTCGCTGGGCCTCGGCAAGCACGACCGCTTCCGTGGCCACCGCTAACCTCGATACCTCGAGAGGATGAACAAGGGTGGACCCACGGTCCGCTTCGCGTTTGCTGCACCACCGCACCAGAAGAACCACTATGGCCAGGGCCATGCCCAGGACCAAGGCCATGAATGATCCCCCATACGGCCATCTTCGACTTGCAGGCTGACCCCAACTCTGATTCCAGCTTCTGGTGTTCTGCCGACTCCCGGGATCCCGGCGGGCGACGAGGGGGTTGGCAGAACGCCAGAAGCTGGAATCAGAGTTGGGGTCGGCCGACATGTCGAAGATTGTCGTGTGGGGCGTCATGTTTATCGCCTCGGTCCTGGGCATGGCCCTGGCCATGGCGATGCTGATGCATTGGTGGACGAAGCGTCAAGCCGCCCGTGGGTCCATCATGGTTCACGCGCTCGAGGTATCAAGACCTCGAGAGGATGAACAAGCGAGGACCCGCGCTCCGTTTCGCGCTTACTGCACCACCGCGTCAGCATGGCCATGCACAGGGCCATGTCCAGGACCAAGGTGATGAATGTGATCCCCCATACAGCCATCTCCGACTAATAGGCTGACTTCAGCTCTGATTCCAGCTTCTGGCGTTCTGCCAACCCCAGCATTCCGGCGGGCGACGGGGGAGTTGGCAGAACGCCAGAAGCTAGAATCGGAGATGGAGTCGGCCTACAAGTCGCAGATGGTCGTGTATGGCGTCATGTTCATGGACTTGGTCCTGGGCATGGCCTTGACCGTGGCAATGCTGATGCGGTGGTGGACGAAGCGTCAACCCGACCGTGAGTCCACCATTGTTCACGCTCCCGAGGAATCGATACATACCTCGAGAGCGTGAACCATGGCGGCCCCACGGTCCGCTTTGCGCATACTGCACCACTGCATCAATATCGCCATGCACAGGGCCATGCCCAGGACTACGGCCACGAATATGACCCGTCTTCGGCGTGTCGGCCGATTCCAGCTCTGATTCCAGCTTCTGGCGTTCTGTCAACTCCCGGCATCCTGGCGGGCGGCGAGGGAATTTGCAGAACGCCAGAAGCTGGAATCAGAGTTGGGGTCGGCCTGCAAGTAGGAGATGGCCGCATGGGGGATCATTCATGGCCTTGGTTCTGGACATGGCCCTGGCCATGGTGATGCTGATGCGGTGGTGCCGTAAGCGTCAAGCCAACCGTGAGTCCACCATTATTGACGCTCTCGAGGTATCGAGAGTACAAACAGCTCGATACCTCGAGAGCGTGAACCAGGGTGGACTCATGGTCCGCTTGGCGCATGCTGCACCACTACATCAGCATCGCCATGACCAGGGCCATGCCCAGGTCTGAGGCCATGAAGATGACGCCCCATACGGCCATCGTCGACTTGTAGGCCGACTCCAACTCTGATTCTAGCTTCTGGCGTTCTGCCAACTGCCTCGCCGTCCGCCGGGATGCCGTGAGCAGGGCCTTCACCGTCGAAAACATGCTCGTAATCTTGTTACCAGCACTGCAATTTGGAGGGGATGGGGGGACGAAAGCAAGCGACGGTAGGTACTTGATGACGTACGGTCGTGGTGCCAGTTTAGCGGTTCGCTGTTTAGCGGGATGCTCTGGTTAGCGGTTTCAAACTTTCGTGGCACCGCTGCACCCCAGTATTCAATTTACAACAGTATGTAACTGCTAATCCAGCACAGCGGAGATACCCTCAATAGCGGTTAAAACATTTTCTGACACTATGGACTGCTAAACAGACTGTACGCACGGTACTCTCCGACCACCCAAATTACTGTTGGATTTAATCTTGGCCAAGACATCACGAATCCCGGAAAAAAAAGTTTTACCAACGTTCGCTTGGAACGCCCAAAGACGCTTGGTTCGGTGCAATATCCTGTAGACCCCACTCTAACTTCGAGGGTTTGGGAGCAGAATTGCGCACGAAATGGGCATCTTGTCAATGTGTCAACTATAGACCAGCATGGTGTGTGTCTAGCGAAACGTTGTCGTGTGTATTTGACCGCGAAACAATGTACTCGGCATGTATACACAAACTAACTGTGCCGTGTTAGTCGCCTCGAGTTTACCTTGAAGACAAAAAACAAATAGGGCGAAACTCTATTTTCCTGACGAGGGGGTCAACCTATACATTACAGTCATGGACAGGCACTATATGGTTTGCGCGGAGGCAGCCCGAGAAGTGCCAAGAATATCACACGAGACCACACCTGCCGATGCTCTTACGGGGCGAGCGAGCGTGGTCGGCGGCGCTCATTGTGTCCTCGCAAACCAAGCAGAACCACGTGTTATGAAGAGTGCGCCAGGAGTTGCCGGTAATCCGTCCCCAATACGGTATGTAGACTACAACGTCTCTGCCCTGGTGTCGTAGAATGCCCTGCGTTCGACCAACCGGGAGGGACCTTCAATGCACCCAGGCGCTACGAAGGTCTGAGAGCAATACATCGAGCGTCAAGTTTATCGAGACCACACCCGCGTAGAAGCAATAGGCACACTGGTAGCCACTTTGCTCCATGGGCAGGGTGGGCTACTTCGACCTTGGCAGGGTGGTGACAAAAAATGGCGGACGAGACATATGGTTACCATGTGACAATCTTGCTCCATGTGCAGGGTGGGCTACTCCGACCTTGGCAGGGTGGTGACAAAAAATGGCGGACGAGACACATGGTTACCATGTGACAATCTTGCTCCATGTGCAGGGTGGGCTACTCCGACCTTGGCAGGGTGGTGACATAGAATGGCGGACGAAATTTATGGTCCCGCCCTGGCAAAAACAGTAAGGGTATACCCTATTACCCTCGTCGCATGGTCACAACCCTCGGGACAGACCCGAGAGGTTCCTCAAGGGGGCACCGTGCCAGGGGGGGGCCTGGCAATGATAACTTCTGCGCAGGGTTTAGCCGAGGCTTCACTGAGCATTTAGCTATATGAGCATTCAGTTTCTCAATTTGTTTCGTATTCGGGGTTTGTTCATTCATCATGTTTCTCCTCGTGACTTCAAGCATCGTCAACAATCCTAAAGTTCGGGCAAGCAGCCCCACAAAGCTGTAGCCCGGACTCCGGCTCTCACAATACATGAAGAAACCCACCCGGCGGGGGCTTCTGTGCGACAAAAGAGGACAAGAAATTACATCGCCATTAACAACACTGTGGACAAGATCATTTCGCGCGACGCATTCAGCTAGGCTGCTGTCGTTTTTTGAAGGCGAAGCAGAGAATCACTTGGTACCCGCCCAAAAAAAAACACGCTCTACGCGGACTGGGTCCCAATTCCAAGAGGTCAGCTGTAGTGCTCAACTACAACCTGCCACATAGGCTGTGAGTTCTCCCCACACCAACTACACCCGTGCCAACGCATGCATTTCTCTGACCTGCACAAGACTTCCTTGAGAAAAAAAACGAAAAAAAAAACGCACGTGCGACAGACCAAAATAGAGAGTCGCTCTCAGCCCGCTAACAGCTTAGCGAGAGACCCAGCCATGAAAACCCATATCCCAACAACAACGAACCCTATGCGAGGATCATTTTGTGCCCCAAAAGATACGATGCAACCCCGTGAACACATGATCTGACAAGGTCAGAGCAAAACACGCAATCAAGAGGAGGAGCCGTCCGCCCCCCAAGCGTGTGAGCCAAAACACTGCCACAGGTTGTGACGAGAACAGAGGGAAAAAAACTTTCCCACATGAGCTACACATGCTACAAAGCAACCGGCGATTATGAGCTCCCCATCCACACCGCAACCCGCCCCCCGTTCTCACACGGATAAGCGAACAACCTCGTGGTGCACACCATGAGTGCAGGATACCCAAAGAGTTTACGCGACAAGCCGATTACTACCCACACAACAAAAGACGGATCCTCACGCATTTCAGCAGAAAAAGCCGATGCAACAACAAGCCAATATAGAATGCTCAACTAAGCCTACAGACTAGTGGATCTCCGGAGCCCCCCTCTGTGTATGTGAAAGGGCGACAGAACAAGTCCAAACTAAACTTTGCGAACAGCTCGTGCCCCGCTAAGAACCTAAGTCGGCAAGACGCGAGGTGTAGGACATCTTGGGACGAATCATGCCAAGAGCACACCAACACAACTTATTCTAACCAATCACACGTGTCGCGAATCTCCATATGCAGGACCGTGTGTAGAGGGCAGACAGAAATCTTGAGAAAAAAACCCAAGTGCGAGGTTCGTCGTCCTAAAAGGCGACCCAGGGAGGCAGGTCCATCCCCACCGAAAGCCGAAGGCGAGGACGGCGTGGGAGAACCTGAGCTCAGTTCATGTCGGCAAGGAAGTCCTCGAGCTCCTCGCCATCCAGCTCGATGCTGTCGCCCCGGGGGAGGGTCTCTGCGACCACGAGGCAACCCTCCGTGTCGGACGATTCTCCGGCAGCGCCCTCTGCAGAGAATTTTTCAAGACCGAGAGGAAAGTCGGACGGGACCATTTTGACGGGGCAGGAATACTTGTGGTATGTGAGGCATCGCACGCAGTGTTGACGAACCTGTACATATCTTAAGCGAGGTATGGCGAGTGGAGGAAATCGTGCATTAACTCTGCGTGTTTTGTGCTCCACCTATTTTCCGTATCGATATTGGCCTAACTTAGCAAGTGGAAGGGACAGACGCCCACAACGCGCGCTATCAAACATTGACGTCGATGGGAATGTTGTTGAGAGCTGTGAGCAACTAACGTTTTGTTGCACCTGAGGTGACGGCGTACGGGCACAGGAACTTGACGATCTTGGGGTTGTCGTAATCCCAGTGGGAGAGCGTCCGGAGGGCGTGCCCGTGGCGGCGGGGTCCCGTGAGATAATGGAACAGCTGGCGCCACATGCTGGCAAGGTAAAACACAGTACACGGGTCGTCGGATAGGGCGACAGACGAGATGCTGTCGAGCAACGTCTGAAAGCCACAAAGGAGTGTGATCACGAAGATATGGACAATGCCCTGGGCTTGGTCAAGCTAGAAATAAGGTTGGCCTAAAGTATCGGTGCGTTTACTACATGTACGCACGGGAGCAGGCAGCTAATTCTTTATGGTGGGAGGACTAAAACAAGACAAACCAGCCAGAGTATTTATTCTTTCATCGCAACACAACATCAGCAAAAATGTTCATCTCTCCTGGAAGGCTCGCGCTCGACGGTCAGGGAATCCCCCGTTGATCAGCCTCGACCAAGACCGCATCTGCCTGGTGGCCCTGCACGCCGCCGACTCGTGCGTGCCGATCTCGGGCACACGCAGAAAATCCATATCGCGGACCGCGTGGAGGAGCATTGGTGTCGCAAACTACATGCAAATAGGGTCAGCACACAAGTGGGTCAGCAAGTGAGCCATCTGCGTAGAAGTACATTTACCCACAGATCCGCGTAGGGCCTTGTTCGACGCGTCCTTGTCCGACGGAACGGGAGGCTGCCCTTGCATCATGGGCACCTGGGTGTCGGGGGGTGCAAGTACGCGAACACGGACGGTGGGAGAGGTGGCAAGAGACACCCGCGCGATACGGCCGTCAAGTTCAGCGCTGCAAGTCTGCAAGTGAACCCTGTGGGTTACAGGTGCTTCTGTTATGTTGGTGCCGTCGCTAAATTATGGTTGAACGGTGCGGATCTAAGCATGTGAAAAACACACTCGGCAAGATCCAAGGTGTTGGTAAACCGGTTTTGGCTACTATAAGAGGGGTGAAGCTGTAAACCAAGCCATATGGAAACATACCTAAACATCCTGTTGGAATAAAACCACTGAGACAACGGTAGAAGAACGATAAAAAAAAAAAATGCCACGGGGCGAATAGTACCCGCGGTGTTGTCTGTTCTCTGCTGTGATGCACCTGCCATAGCACCCTAGAAGCAACACCAACAGCAAACCACCTACTATTATACGACCAATCGGCAACCGCACACACGAAAATTCTCCCATAATGGAATGCCTGGGTTTGTGTGTGAATGCCCCTATCGGTAGGACAATTTTGACGTCAATGAAGAACATCCCGTTGGGGCTCGCACAAGAAACAGGGGGTTGGGGGGGTACGAAAAAAACTATGGTCATCCGGGCCTACTACAATGTATTTTTGGTACCCCGGCGGTATTTTTCTTTTCTTTTTGGGGGAGGGGGGGGGTTGCACGGAGGGGGGCTACGACAAAGGATACTACGGTATCGTACAAAACAACGATCACTTACCAACTGCGGATTGACCAGCAGACCTGACCTAGCCACCACGTTCACATGAGCGACCAGGAGGCAGTCGTAAAGCTCATCCCCGGTCATTCCAGAGTTGATCTGCTTACGGTGAAGTGCCGGAGGCGCCGGTGGAGGCAGCGCGGTGCACGACCGAGGCAGCTCCGCCGCGTGAAAAGGCACCGGAACGACCGTCCGCCTGGGTCGAAGAGGTGCTGGCGGGATCGCGGCGGCTGGAGCACTGCCCTGCATGCCCGCCGCGCCTGGAAGGCAGGCGGACCGAGCGGGCGTCGTTGCCGCGCATCGCCGCCGGGAGCGGCCGCGGCGCGAGAAGGTCCACGCTGCCTGCGTCAGACCCCTCACCGCCGTTGTCGTCGATGTCGAACCGGTTGGAGTCGACGGTCAGCTCTTCGTCCCTCGAGTCGTTGCCGGGGTCGCTCTCCGGGTCGTACTATGAACCGAACTCTTGCATGGGTTGGACGGCATCTTCCGAGTCCTGCATCCACGGGGCGACGGAGGTCGGGAACGGCGGAGGGTGCAAAAATGCATGAGTTGGTCGGATAGAGTGTGGTATGCTGTGGGCGAAAACTTTGCCGGCGCTATGTATTTGAACAAATGAACCATCTCGGGCCAACCATGACGATCTACACCCAGTATGTGAGATACGGCCCACCCCAAATTTGAAACTCTTGCACAAACAAAGAAGTCATCAAGCAGGAAATTGCGCATTTTTTTGTCCGAGATTTTTCGTTGCTGTAGGAAACGGCCTTATAGGCAGAGGGAGAAAGCAATGGACTCGCATACATCTGTGCAAGATATGAACTTGTTGGGTGACCATCGAATCGGAGATACAACCGGGGGCCAACATCGACCATGTCCTCTTGCGAACCCCGTGGGAATCAAGAAACCAAACTCTTGAGTGGAAGCCCTGTGTCCTTGTAAAGTGCACGGTTTATATATTGCAATTCCTATGTGGACGCCGCGGAATACTGTATCCAATACCATTCGACTGCCGGTAGCGAAAAGAAAAGAGGGCACATGGCCGTATCGATCGGATTGGATGCTAGTATGCATACTTCGCATTTAT